AAATCCAGTACTTTATTTTTAAGATAGTGTGAGGTAAATATTCTCTGTGAATTGTATTTTTAACAGTTTTTTTATTGATTCTTTGGGAATTTCACATCATGCAACCCCACCAATTCTGCTTACTTCCTAGTCCCTCCATATCTGCCTTCATCCCTGTAGTGTCTTCCCACCCAAAAGTTTAAAACATTAATAAAGCAAGCAAGCTAGCAAACAAACAAGTAAAAACACTTTGCTCCTGTTTTGCTTGCTTCTCCAGTACCTCTCTTAATGGCTCTTGGCACCGTGATATGTAGCTCAGGATACCCTTTTGTCCACTCAGCTTTATTTGTAAATGTTCCTAATCAGATTCAAGGCTTCCGCCTTCTGGACCCTCAGCAAGACTCCTTTCAGATATCCTGCTGTTGTTCCAAATCATGGAGATCCTGAAGCTATGCTTCCACAGGGTCAGTCCCTTCATGCACTCCCACACACAGGTCACAGATGTGGTAAATGTGCCTATGCCCTAGGGTGCTGTGGAATAATCCTTCTTGTAAATATGTATTACTCTCATTGATTAATAAAGAACTGACTGGCCTAAGCTGGGCAGGAAGAGATTGGGTGGGAAGCCAAAGTTAGGGGGATGCTAGGAAGAAGGTGGGCAGAGTCTGTACTAATGAGCAGATTCAGAAAGAAGCAAGATGGGAATGCTACACTGAGAAAAGGCACCAAGCCCCATGGTAAAGCAGAGATATGACTTAATTTAAAATGTAAGAGTCAGCTAATAACAAGCCTGAGCTATTGACCGAGCATTTATAATTAATATTAAGCCTCTGAGTACATAACTAAGAGTGGCTAGCAGTACAGAAATTTCTGCCTATACTAGGGGCCTGCTCTTCCACGCCCATAGAGAGGGTTGGGAACATCTCTCCTCAGTGTGGGGCCAGCTCTTCTGCTGCAGTGTCCAGTGAGGGACATAGCCTGCTCTCTCAGGGCCAGCAAAGGAACAGTAAAAGCTTAGTGTGGTCCTCAGATTTCAGCACATATGGTAACTATGGTCTCTTGAGGTAACATGGGCCATGGAGATCAACACAGATGCCAGCTGCAGCAGGACCACAGACTTATATATTGCCCTTGGCTGCAGCTCAGGTATGGACATCACCATGGCTCTGGTTCCTATGCCAGACACCCAGATAAGTATGGCCACAATGACAGCATGAGGTCTGTGGCCCAACTCCAGCAGAGGTCTGCACTGATGTCTGTGTTCCATGTTGCTACCAAATGTCTCACAGATATCCATGGTCTGAGATACCATGTGGCCATGTTGGTATCTGAGGGCCATGCAAATCTGAGTGGCCTCTACTGTTATGGTCTCTGGTGGCTGACTAGACTCCAAGTATCTGAATGACCGGCAATAGTAACAAGAACTATGGACATCAACTCAGACCCTGGCTGGTATAGGGCCATGAACCCAGACATGGTCCTCAGAAGCAGCCTGGGCCTAATGTCACCTAGTGGCAGTGCAGACCATACAGATATGCATGACCCCAGTGGCAGCATGAACCACGGACACCAACATGACACCAGGTGGTGGCTCAGACCCCGGGGCATATGCACAACCTTCAGTGGTAACCAAAGCCATGAACAGAAACACAGACTCTGGCTGTGGTAAGGCCCCAGACCCAGACATGGCTCTTGGCTGCAGCTTGTGCCTGAACATCACCACAGCCTTGGGTAGCAGCACAGGCTTCCCAGATCAGTATAGTCCTGATGACAGTATGACTTTTGGATATCAACATGGTCTCAGGTGGCTGACCAGACCCTTGGCATCCACATGGCCCTCAGTGGTAATGGAAGCCACTACATTAAGTCATACCCTGGATGTTGTAGGGTCATGGACCCGGGAAGCAGCCCTGGCCCAGATGATACCATGGTCCCTGGTGGCAGCACAGGCCACCCAGATCATCATGGACCCTGACATCAACATGGCCATAGGTGGAGGCCCACACCCCAGGGACCGTGTGGCCTTTGGTAGTAACATGATCCATGGATGTTAACATAGACCCTGGCTGAGGCAGGCCCACAGATCCAAACATATCCTTTGGCAGATGCCTGGGCCTGGAAGATACCATGGCCCCAGGGGCAAACAGACCTCCCACATTGGCCCACTCCTCACTGCCTGTTTCTTCTCTTCTGCCTCTTTCCACAGCACATGAACTGAATCACTTCTCTTTTCCCATTTCTCCACCATATATTTGCTCATCATAATGGCACCTGCCTGTAGGATGCCTTCAGCTGGCCCTGGCCATGAGTATTCTGGCAGGACTGTGTGTCTCTTCCCCCACCTGGATCTTGAGGACCCAGGTTGGACTGTGGATGCCACCAGTAAGCCAGCTGAGCTTTATTTTTTAAAAACTATGAAATATAATGGATTTAGTCTCTACATTTTTTTTCCTTGTTAATAAGCATCTTGGCCTATTTTGTATTGTTATGGTATAGTACTACACTTTGTTTTGGATTAGGGTTTTGCCCAACAGTATAGGGGCTATATGGAGTGTGTGTGGGGAGGAGTGTGTGTGGGAGGGTGTGTGTGTGTTTGTGGTGGTCCTTAAGGTTTTTTCTTTTCTCACAAAGTTGCCAGTAATCAATCATAACATCTTTACCCTGATGATCTTACCTAATCATAATAATGCTCCAGAGGCCTCATGTTTAAAACACCAAAGTTGGATCAGTATTCTATGCCTTTAATACTTCCAAAGGGGTTAAAAATTCAAAGTGAGTTTTGAGAGAACAAATCATATTCAAACCATACATATGTCATCTTGATACAGAAATGTTGATGGTATCTTGGTATTTAATTTCCTACATTTTATTGGTGAAATGGTTACAAAACATTTAGCTATTACTTTTAAATCATTGCCACTTTTTCCTATTTTAATAACTCCCTTAACACCTATAATTGGAAACATCCATTTCTTTTTGTTAGCTCATTTGTTTGGGATAGGTCTCAAGTAGCCCAGTATGGAGCCTGAATCGGTTATCTTCTATAACCAAGCTAGGTTTATAATGGTGGGACTGGAACACTAACCCAGGCATAAAACCTTTGAACCCAAACCTGTCCTGCCTGTGAGACAGAGCTATTGAGAGTGGCAAATCAATGACTGGTGTAATTTGAGGCCCAAGACATGAGTTGGATGCCACGCCCTAGCCTGCCCAGATGGTCAGCAACTGGAAGCTAGATGGCTCAGAGACATAGGGGGAAAGCAAACATGACTGAAAATAAATAGTAAACAAAATTATTCCTAAAGATATTTTGCTAGCCTCATAGATTGGTGCTTAATCCCTTGCTATCCAAGAAGCCTGCATTGGACTGTGCTAGGTCCTCTGCATATATGTTGTGGTTGTTTAACTGGGGGTTTTATGGGACTTCTAACAGTGGGACTGGGGTTGCCTGTGACTCTTGCCTGTTCCTGGGACCAATTCCTCCCAGTGGGTTACCTTGTCTGGTCACAGTATGTTGGACTGTGCCTAGTCCTATTGCATCTTGTTATGCTGTGTTTGGCTGATATATATCCCTGGAAGTGGGAGACCTTTTTTTATTTTTCTTTTTTCTAAGAGAAGTGGAACAGGAGTGGATAGGAAGAGAGGTGAAGTGGGGGTGGGTAGGAGGAGAAGACATGGGGGAGGCTGCAGTTGGGAGGTATTATATGAGAGAAGAATAAATAGAAAATCATCAGAAAATTAAAATAACCTCTAAACAAATAACTTGTAATGTTCCAAACCCCAAAGTACCTAGGCTTGTGAATTTTCACTTTACCAGCTCTCATCCAGACCTTCTTTGCCAGCATTCTGCCTCTTTATTTGTTCTGTAAGTATGCATCATTTTATATAATATCTCATCTTAGACTCTAATTCCTTTGGATAGGTAAAAAGGTCTCCTTTCTTAAAATTGTCACTACTAGTGAAGGGAGCAGGCAAAAGTGCCTTGGCCTAAATACTGCCATTTTGACTTCAGACTCCATTTTACCTGCAGGGTGAAATTAAGTTCAAGTTTCCAAGCCCTAAGGGAGCTGAGAACTTTCTAATGGCTGACCAACCTCCTTCCTACACCATAAAAATAGTCTTTATCTATTTTTCTAGCAACATTTTGGTTGTTTCTAACAATGGAAGGAACAAAGGAATCTGACTAACTGGACTAAAAGGCTTGCATTGTATGTCAGTTGACAATAATGGAATAATTAAGGCAGTGCCTAATCTCTAAATCCTGATTGGTGAAAAATTCTATTTCCTGGCAACAAATGTTTGTGAATTTTATGCTTATAAACCCCACTTCTGCCCCTGCTCAAAACAAGATAAAGGATCCTGAGTCTTTGTGCTGTGGTCCTGACCATTCAATTATCCACCTATGTAGTGAATAAATAAAATCTATGAAACCCTAAGTGTTCTCTCTCCTTCCCGTGGCACATAATGGGCTAGGGGTAAAACTAGCAGTCTTCCAAAGAGGGAGTAACCAGAACAAATAATCTATTGAGAAAAGAATAATTGTTTTTTCTTTTTCTTTTCTTTTTTTTTTTTTTTGCATTTTTATTCAGTTAAGAACAACTAAGTATGTTTCTTCAAACTTTACCAAAAAGTGGAATAGAAACAAAAGGGAAAATGATACTTTATACATTCTGATTTGTTTTCCTATTTTAAGATACAACTACCCACATTAAAAAAAAAAGAAGCCTCCATTACAAAGTCATTGCTGCTTGCTCTTCAACTTAAACATTCAAGGGTTTTTAGAATGTAATACAGAATTATCAAAATTCTTAAATCTTCTAGCAACAAGTACTATGATCTATGTCATTTATAACTATTGATTCTGAATCTAAATAAGGATTGCAGGAAAAGGGAAACACTTGAAAAATACTAATGTATAAACAAAGCCTAAAACGATACCCATTATGAACCATCACCCTCTCATTACTTTTAAGTTGGGAAAATCTGCTCCAAACCTGTGGCTACATCTGCCTCTAATTTGTCTAGGAGCAAGAGGAGTCACCAGATGTGACTTTAGACTCTGCTTTGTCTTTGGCATTAGTGCCATCCCTGCCTACAGCTTCAGCTTGGGCTCTCTCCTCCTGATCTTTCAAAGCCTCTTCATAATGAGATGGGAAAGCCTGAGGAATGGTCTCATTGACCTTGGCTAAAAACTCCAGGACTTTCATCTTGGTAGTTTCAGCATGGGCTCGGGGACCCCACAGAAACTCATAAGTTGGAGGATCACTATCAGCCACCTTCCGGTATTCCAGGTACTTTTCCTTAACCAAATCTTTAGTGACAAGCTTTCGGGGCTCCCCAAAGATTATGTGTGCCTTCCCATCATAAATTCCCAAAATATTCAGGAACTCCCAGATCTCTGCCTCAGAGGCACGGTTGCCATTTAAAAAGATCACACCCAGCAGAGGCATCAGTAGCCCATTCTGGGGAAAAGGCAAGCCAGTGGTCAGAGTCCCACCAATGCTGGGGTCTAACTTGCTGACAAGGGTGTAATAGCTACCATTGGGCTTGATTTGCTTCACTTCAAGACCAAAAACCAGCTGAATGCGCTCAGAGGCTTTCTTAAGGATCTCAGGAAACTGCTCCTTGAATCTTTTGTTGATTATTTTCAGCATTTCACCCTTATTCATTGGCTGTTTCATTTTGTACTTGCAGAGCAGGTACTGCATCAGCATTCCCGTCTTCCTTGATAGAAGATCACTCTGGGGGCTCTCAGTGGAGTGTGGGGCCTTAGAGCAACTAGGACTTTGCTCCCTTCGACCTCTGGCACCTTTACCAGATCTTCTGCGGGCCACACGTCTACCAGCAGTGATTGTAGATGCCTCACCCTGAGGTTTAGACTTCTGAGGCAGGCTAGCAGTAGAGGTGCTTGCAACAGCATCTTCAGAATCATGAGTAGAGGAGGAAGGTGACTCTTCTTTCTCTGCTGCCTTTGCCTGAGCATCCTTGAGCCCCTGGGCCTCATCTTGGATCTGGCGGCGCTTCTCACGAGCACGGGCCTTACTCTTCTGTCCCCTGGGCATGATGGCTGTGGTCAGAAACTGCAGGTAGGAGGCTAGGCTGGAAATCAAGTACTTGGGGAACCTAGAGGAGTGATAATGAGAGATCCTGTAAGTACTTCCAGGAGGATCATTAGCAACATGCCTATATGGGTTTCTGTACAAACATAAAATACTAATCTAGAAATCTTTTTTAGTTAGCCTGAGAAAACAGTACAGGAAATTATAGTTTGTCCAGGCTGCAATCAGCCAGGCTCCCCTAGGGCTGGCTTGGTGACAGTAAGGTTTGGTAGAGTCTTCTCAGTTCCCACACAGTACTTTTAGCAGGTCCTAGACCCCTCTTTCCTGTGCATGCTCAGCAGATGAAAGCTCAAACCCCCCTAGTCACCATGAAATCCTAGTCCTCATGAAAAGAAAATCCAAGAGGTTTTCCTCCCACTGCTCCTAAAAGGAAGAATTGCTAACAGCTCTGTGGTAATGTCTCATTCGTCTTTCTGGGTCCCTTATTATTTTGCCTCTGTTATAGGATCAAGAACAATCCTTTCTCCTGTACCTTCAGCCAAAGGATTTCATCTCACTTAACCCTGATAGGAAGAAATGAGAGAAGTCTCAACTGTGTTCTGAGGCTTCAAAGAATGAGTGCCAAGACAGCCACAGACTATTGTTTCCATAAAATGGTATTGAAGAAGTACCTTCAGTCCTCACCTATTGTTTATACATGGACTCCTGAAGCTATCTCCCCTCTCTACACTTAATCCTCACTGACACTTAGCAGAGGGTATGAGTGCTGCTATGTAGACTATATTTTCCAGAGGGCCAAAGTTGTGACAGGTAGGTTAAGTCCCTATCACATGTTGTTTCACTTATGGTCCTCATTCTAAGTCTTCCCTAGGTGATTCATCAGACTAATACTCTTATTTTTCTACTAGTCTTGCATAGAAACTAAGGGAATTTCTGTAACTGAGGCCTTGTGGGATAACATCAAGAGGGACAGACTCTGTGGGACCTCCCCCAATATGGGGTGTGAGTTCCCTGAATTCTTTACGATCACCTAGAGATCTCTCCTACTGACTTGATGCCCTTCAAATCACAATAATATTTTTACCTCCCTAAGAACCCTGTGATGAAAGAAAGCATAAGCTACAACCAGCTATCTGTACCCTCTATGGGGCCCTACTGTTTGGAGGTCATGGGTCTCTATAGTTCCCACTCAGCAAAGATGTAAACTCAATCCTCAGCCCATTGGATTCCTTGAGCCTTATAGCAAGGCCTTCATTTTCCTCCAGAGCTAGATATAAGAAGAGAGTAGATACAGTGAGTTCTGCTTGGCATTTCCAAGAGGGAAAGGACTTTATGAATTGTACTTCCTCATTAAGTACTCCTTTCTCTTTGCCCTCCCCCAGTCTCCCCTTGTCTTTACTTAGTGCTTATCTACTCAAGGCCCTCACACTCCTGAGAGGCTCTAAACTAATTCTTAGCAAGCCTGTGATCTCATCAGCTTGTTGTAGTCTCCAAAGAGTGGCTGCTTAATCAGGGAAAAACTGTGCACTGTTTTGTTATACGGTGAGTGCATCCTAAAGTAGAGAGAATCCACTCCTTGGCTTCTGTAACTAACTGGGAATTCTCTACCTGTTAAACTGAGGTTGTCCATTTACCTTCCGTAGATGCTTTAGAGAGAAGATATGCATGACTCACAGGTAGATACAGAGATTTATTTGGGTTACTTACTATATTGGCAAACAGGCATCTCTGAATTTATACCAAATTGATTCTTGTTAGGAATCAGGTCTCATTAATTACTAATGCTCCAAATAAATCAAAGTATTAGTGTACCTGAGACCCTACCTGAATAAAATTAGGCAGGTTCTAATCCTGAGAGCTCTAACATTGGATTGTCAAATCTGAATTGCAAACCAAGACCCTGTAGCTGTCAGCTGAGTCATGTCTAACTCTCTCCATTAAACACAAGGAAGGAGAGAGGCCACCCTGTGAGATGGCTCAGTGGGTAAAGGCAAGCCTAACTGAAATTTGATCCCTGAGACTCACATGATTGAAAGAGAAAAATGACTGCTGAAAGTTGACCTCGGCCATCCCCATATCCCACACTCATATTTTAATACAGACACATGTGAACACACACACACACTAAATGGCTTAGCCTAATAACTTAAGTTTCATTCCTGGAACTAATTCCAGGTCAGCTAAAGTTATAAATAAGAGCCTCAAAAAAAAAAAAAGAAAAGAAAAGAAAAGAAAAAAAGAAAAAGAAAAAGAAAGAAAAAAGAAAAAGAAAAGGGAAGGAAGGGAAAAAATAAAGGAAAGCAAAGGAAAAAAGCCAAAAAAAGCCAGAGCGGCGGGAGTGGGGGTGGGGTGGGCGGCAGTGGCCACTACTGGCTGTTAATCCAGCCCTCAGGAGGCAGAGGCAGGAAGATCTCTGTGAGTTTTGAGTCCATCCTGGTCCACAGAGCCAGTTCCAGGATAGCCTCCAAAGCTAGAGAAACCCTGTCTGGGAAAAAAGAAAACAAAAGCCTCCACCACCACCAAACTCGCCCCCGCACCCCCCCGACTGGGGCTTCAGGAAAAAATGTGTAACAAAAGCCTCTTCAGAGCCTGCCACCCCCGCACTCCCCCTCACCATTCCCCCTACACTCGGCCCTGCACCCCCCCATACCCAGGCTTCAGGAAAAAAGTAAAACAAAACCTCTTCAGAGCCCACCATCTCACCCTCCTTGCATCCACGACCCCCGCACTGACCCCTGTACCCCCACTCGGGTTTCAGAAAAAAGTAAAACATAAGCCTCTTCAGAGCCCACCACCCCACCCCCACCCCACCCCACCCCGCATTCGTCCCCCCCACCCGGGCTTCAGAGAAAAAGTAAAACAAAAGCCTCTTTAGAGCCCGCCACCCCACCCTCCCCCACCCCCCACACTCGGCGCCACCCCTACACCCGGGCTTCAGGAAAAAGAAGTAAACTGCAAGCCTCTTTAGAGCCCCCCACCCCACCCTTCCCCACCCCACACCCCCAAACTCGCCCCACCCACCCAGGCTTCAGTAAAAAAAAGTAAAAGGAAAGCCTCTTTGGAGCCCGCCACCCCACCCTTCCCTCGCCACCCCACCCTTCCCTCGCCACCCCACCCTTCCCTCGCCACCCCACCCTTCCCTCACCACCCCACCCTTCCCTCGCCACCCCACCCCACCCTTACCCCTCCCCACCCCACCCTTACCCCTCCCCACCCCCCTTACCCCCTCCCCACCCCCCCAACTACCCCATCCCACCCTCATCCACCCCCCCAAACTCGGCCCCACCCCCCCAAACTCGGCCCCACCCACCCGGGCTTCAGTAAAAAAAAGTAAAGGAAAGCCTCTTTAGAGCCCGCCACCCCACCCTTCCCTAACCCACCCCCTTCCTCTCCCCACCCCCACCCCCCTTTCTCTCCCCACCCCCCACACTCGCCCTCCCCCCCCTGCTTCAGTAAAAAAAAGTAAAAGGAAAGCCTCTTTAGAGCCCCCCCACACCCCCCCACACTCGGCTCCACCCACCCACCCGGGCTTCAGGAAAAAGTAAAACGAAAGCCTCTTCAGAGCCCGCCACCCACGCACTCCCTGCCCCCCTGTGCTACCCGGGCTTTTCTTCTCTTTAAAAACATGTTTAAAAACGTGTCCCCGTGTACACTGACCCACACACATGCTGATCAGAGAACAACGGGTCTACTTTCTCCTTCCATCATGCATGTCCAGGGGATCGAACTGAGACCCTCGGGCCTGTACGGAAAAGTGTGTTTAGACTCGAAAGTATTTTGCCGTCCCCGTGTTTTTCTGGGGGGGGTACCCAAAACACAAAAAACCAAAACCTTTCTTGGGGAGCCTCTGAGTGGAAATAGGGCTCCAGTCATGAAAACCTGCCCAAGCTTCCCCAGGGCAACTGCTGTGAGGACCGCTACGGGTAGGTGACAATGACTACGACTAAGACGACGACGACGAGGACTCAAGGAAACAAGGAGGGATAAAGGAGTCCAGACAAAGCAACGGGAGGACAAAACATTTGTGGGATCTACTGTGTCCTGGGTGATGGGTTTGTCCCTAAGAACATATTTGGGGACCTTACCTTGATTCCAGAGCAGTCTGAGAAATTCACCCTCAGCAGACTAGGCAGTGGATGGCAGCGGCAGCGGCAGCGGCAGCAGCTTCTCCGTGTGGAGGCAGAGATTCTCGCCCTCACAGCGGAAGTGGGAAAGAAGTATATCCGGTTAGGTTTGCGTGGGGTCTCCTAGAACTAACGGCAGGGGTACGTTACTAACGGACCGCGCTCTTTCAAAATCAATCTTCCCTTAGTGTTACTTGATAGACAGAAGAGCTTGAAATTCCTCACTATACTGCCTGAAGTCTCTCAACCTCCAAATCAAGCCCTGATCTTCCACACGATCCCCACAAAGACAATGAAGTCAAACCTCAAATAACATCCTCTGTGGGAACCCCCTGGGAATAGCAGCAAGGGAAAACTCCGAACTGCTTTGTTTTGGAGACAGACCCTGACAGTGGCCTATACAGATCCTCTCTTGTATTCAGATGTTCTCCAGATTTCTTCCTTTGTTGAACTAAAGCCCCACCTACTAGAAATTACTATTTTGTTTTTGGAGACATTTCTGACAGACAGGATTGCCTGTCTGGTTAGATTTGTTAAGTGACCACATATACGCGCGCGCGTGTGCGCGCGCGCGCGCGCACACACACACACACACACACACACACACAGGTGCAAGCGCTCGCATACACACACCCTTGTTTTTAGCATATTCTAACAAACTTATCATAAAAAATTCTTGGAAAGTCCTAGGATTTTCCTTCTGGCAAACTAAAACCCTCACTTCCCTGAAATTTTCTAAGAAGAAATCAGGGAATGGAGAACTGAGCATTTTCTGGTAACTACCTGTGGGAGCCATTCTGGAATACACATTACATGCAGTTCATGGTCATATGCTGACCTGGACAAATGGCCTGTCAGAGACTTCCCTGACTTTCACACCGACGTCTTTTCTCCCCAAGAGTTCTAACTTGAAAGTGAGGATGATTCATAGTCCTTTTGTTCACTGCAAGAATGTATACCACGAACACAGCACTGTAGGATTCCACAGTTCTGCATAGGGATCTCTATTTGTGCTCATTTATGTTCATCACATTTACATCCACCCTAGCTTAGTACTGGTCACCTTCATTAAGGGTTCTAAATGATTCCTATGTTGTGGTGTGACTGTCTCACCAGCACTCATTTATTTTGACTGCTAACTTCCGTTTAAAGTTTTTGAGAGAAATTAGATATCCCTGAAAACAAAACAAAACAAAACAAAAACTTGACCATTTTACTGATTGCAGACTATGAAAAGAAGTCCTTCTCCTAGGACTGAGATGTTGAGAAATTCCAACCCAAGGCAGGACATATGATGGCTTAATTGTTCCCAAGTAAATTCTTTTTCCTAAAGGATAGCACCAGATGACATTAAAAATATCTTTGGAGGCTAGAGAGATGGCTCGGTGCTTCTTCTAGAGGATCTGAGTTTGATTCCCAGCACCTACACTGTGGCTCAGGACAACCTGAAACTCCCAGTTCCAAGGAATCTGCTGCCCTCTTCTGTCCTTCCGAGTCAACAGGCATGCACACCAGTGGATATATATACTCTCAGGCAAAACACCCATACACATAAAGTAAAAATCTTTAAGAAAAACAAAAACAAATTAAAAAACACCTTTTTAAAGCTAATGTGATAATCTTAACTATGACAAAGGTGAATCCTAATTGTAAGAGTATATTCTATTGGTTTTATACTTATTTTGATATTCACTGCTCAGTTTTGCTTCATATTTTTACGTGTCCTTGTGATCTAAATGAAACTTAAATTTTATGTTCTAGTTAAAGAAATACAGGGATCTCAAGATAAATCTTATCAAAGAACACACTGATCTGTTAGTTTTCTTTGCCAGTCATAAAGGCTCTTCTAAAATACTTGCTTTCTTCACAGAAGGATAGAGCCAGGTGATTTTTTGAGCCTTGGCTCTTTTGAGTCTTTCCAGATTTGCATATGTCACTGATCATATTGTTCTATCTCTTTCTCTCTTTTATCTACCCTTCTCAGTTCTTTTTATATTTTATTGATTTTGTATTCCAATTCAGCATTTTGATTAGAGTTCATCTTTTTAATCATCTGAAGTATATTTGGAAACACTGGAAGAAAGCAAGTGAAGCAGTTTGTGGTCAGCTCAATCTTGAATAAGTAGAATGAAGTGAGCTCTTAAGACCAAGTATTTAAGTGCAGCTTAGTCTTTTACCAGCTGGATGAGTTTGGGTACATTACCAAACTCTATGACCCTCAGGCAGTGCATCTGTGAAATTAATTCATATGATCTGTCTTATAAGATTGCTAGTGTTTGGTTAGTGTATGCAAAGCACCTGGCACCGTGCCTGGAGTGCACTGAGACTTAGAGAGATGTCTGCCATTACTACCATTACTACAGTTGCTTTAACCACAGAGTATAGCATTCCACACTGAAGAATTCTTTCAACACAATATTTTTATAAATTCATTAGGAATTTCACATCACACACCCTGATCATACTTATTTCCCAATCCTTCCATGTCTGACCCCCACACCCTTGTGACCTCTACCCCTCAAAAAATTAAAAATAAATGGAAAAATAAAATTTAAGTCAAATTTGTGTTATCTATATACTCGCTGGAGCATAGTCAAACTATCAGTGTCTTGCCCCTTAAATAAAACTGAGTCCTTCCCCTCCTACACCTCCTTCAGTAGCCATCAAGTGTGGAGAGCTACACTTACTCATCCTAATCACACTTTTTAAGAGCTCTTTTAGATGGTCCTTCCCTGTTATAAGTAGCTACATTGGGGGAAGTGGAGGTTAGGAATTGTCACAGAAGCCTTCATGTTCCTCTTTCTCAAATGTTCATCTGAATGTCTTCTGTATCATTTCAAAGCCACCTTCCTTGCTCTTTTCTGTGGTAACATGGAACACTGACATCTCAGATGCAGTAGGACCACAGGCCAGAGCATGGCTCTCTGAGGCAGCACAGGCCCAGACATTGTTATAGACCACTCACATAACTATGATCTCCAGGAACAGGACAGCCCATGAATATCAGCGTGGCTTCAGGCAGCAATACAGACCATGGATATCTTCATAGTCCTTGGTAGTAACATAGCCACCGACAACAACACAGACCCTAACTACTGTAGGACCACAGACCCTGATGGGAGAGAGGGTGGCCTGGCTAACTTCCACACTCTTATGAATTTTTTTAATCTAAAAGATAACAAGAAGTTTAACACTAAGGGTGTGGAACAACAAATCAGCTCCAAATGGTACTCACCAAAGAAAATGTAAGAACAGTTTGTTCCATCATTAAACTATATTTTCAGTAAAGGTGTCTTCTAGGATTCTATTTAAAAACTAAATCATACCTTCTGCCACAGTGGTGTCCAACCTTTTGACATTGCAATATGTTGTAATCTGTAAACATTTTGGGGCACATTCATAGATATTTTGGGATTCCATCACCCAAAAATCCACATCTGCTTTGATTGTCCAAATACACACACACGCACACACACCTGCATAAACACACCTAAAATTTTAAATATCCTTTTAATGTAATGGACTTCACAATTCACAGAAAAAAGCACCATCCTGATGGCTCCTGAGATTTTAGCCTCAAAAAGCACAGGTCATTCTCTATGCATGCCCCAGGTAGAGATTCTGTCCAGTGTATTCACAGTCCCATGATATCTATAACCAGTAATTTTCTGTTCTATGCCAAGAATCTTAGTTCTGAGCTTCTACAGCCTCATCTAGTCTCCATGCAGTCAACTTACATTTACCTGCCACTGAGTAACATGAAGATGTCCAACATCTAATATTAGCTTTTCTAGAAAAATGTATACTAAGAATACTCACTTGGAATGTCTCATATTTTATCCTCTTCTGTGGCTTCTCTTAGGAAGTATCTGGCCCACTTTTGTATTATAGATTCTGCACCTGTGTCTGTATCTGTGTCTACCTATCTCTTTCTGTCTCTGTCTCTTTCTCTCTCCCTCTGTGTGTGTGTGTGTGTGTGTGTGTGTTTGTGAACAGATGTAAGACTGTATGAAAGTGCATGCACAAATATATGTAGATGCCAGTGGTCAGCTTCAAGTGTCAATCTTCATGCATTGCCAACCTGAATCTTTTGAGACAGGATCTTTTCACTGTCCCGAAGTTCACCCATTAGATTAATCTGACCAGCCAGAAATAGCCTGCAAATATAGAGGCTCATTGTCAACTTCAGGTATGATTCCTTGGGAGTTGTTCACCTCATTTTTGTGAGAAAATATTTAAGAGAGAACACAAAAGAGGGAGCCAATATTGGTTTGAAGAGAAAATTGAACCCAAACAAAGGTCTAGAGACCTGCAAGACTGCCACCAACTAACAATTTGAGCATCCATAGAAAGGCTACCATAAATGCCCTTCCCGGATAGTGAGATCAGCAACTAACTTATCCATGGAGCCCTCATCTAATACCTGTTGGGGACAGAAGCAAACACCTATACCTAAACACTGAGTCAAAGTAGAACCCAGATGCAGATGGAGAGGACAAGACCAGGTTGCAGAAACACATAGAGACAGCTGACCTGAACAAGGAGGAGCTAATGGGCCCCCAGACTGATAGCTGGGAATCCAGAATGGGACTGACTCAGGCCTTCCTGAACATGGGTTTCAGCCAGAAGTACTGAGCAGTCTAAGGGACCTCACACAGTGGAGCCAGGATATATCCCTGTTGCACAAAAGGACTTTGCGAACACATCCCCCATGGAGGGATAACTGCCTTAATCTAGAGACAGGAGAGAAGCCCTAGTCCCTACTTCACATGACCTGTCAGATCTACATGACCCCACCTGTATGGCATTGCCCTACATATGGAATTGGGGTGGGGGGATGGGAGGGGAGGGTGGTTAGAGTGCATGTGAGAGGGCAGAGAGGGTAAAAGGGAGGGAGAGAGGGAGAGGGAACTGGGATCGACATGTAAAATAATAAATCAAATTTTAAAATCTAAATTTTTTATATATAACATGATTCTTTATTGCCTTGGAGGAATTTCACATCATGTACCCTAATCCTGCTTGCCTCCCAATTCCTTCTTATTAATCCCTTACTGCTGCAGTGTCTCCCCAAAATTAATTCAAAACAAAACAGAAAAAAATTCACACTGCTCCATCTTCCCATCTTTATGTTTTTCCAACACCCCTTCATTCATCCTAGTGGCATTGGTAACTACATACAGTGTGTCTCACAGTATTCCCTTTTGTATGATCAGCCTTTCCCACACATGTACACTGTGTGATCCCTTGTTGGTTTGTTTCAAGGCCTCTGGCACACCATTACCACTGGACCCTCACCAGAAACTCCTCTCAGATATCCTGCTAAAATGTATAAAAATAATGAAACCCCTGAAATATATATAGTATTTTTTAAATCAAGTCCAATATCTACAGTAAATGTTAGTCTAGTATTTGCAGTTAATATTATGTATACACAAACGGTGGTCTTTTGATGTGTAATCATTTTTTTTTCTTATTTTGTGGCTAATTGACCCAGTCACATACTAGCAAGTGTCCAAACTAAAGATGAAATCTTGACGCTGTGTATTAGTAAGTTCTATATATTCTTCTACCCTAGACTGACATTGTGTAATGGGCAGATTGTCTGTCTGATATAAATAACACATCCCAGTAAAAAGAATAGGGGGTGCCAAGAATGCTGAACAATAGGTCCTGGGCAAGGACCCTCTTGTCTCTGCATTCTCAGCGCTGACATTATAAGTACATACCATCATACTTGGTTTTTAACATGGGTTCTGGGAATCAAACACAGGTTCTCATCCTTGTGTGACAAGCACTTTACTTACACTGCTACCCCCATCACCCCCCCCCCCACACACACACACACAAGAATCTTATTCTTAAGGAAGCCTAACCCACTGATCAGGCCCTCAACTGAAAAAGTCTCCCTTAGTAACAAGTATGTAGGAAGGGGCTGATGGCCTTCAGTTCAAGGCCAGAGAGTAATTCCATGTTCTCAAATGTTTACCTATGAATCTCAGAATAGTGTTCACTATGGTTGAAAATTATCCACCAAAGGTTCATCTACTGACATCTTGTCCTGAGTCTGGCATCATTAAGGTGATGGAACTTGTAAGAAATTGGATGTAGCACAAAATAATTCAGTCATGTGGAAATTACCTTCAAAAGGGAGAAATGCTGCTCCTAGTTTGACTTAGCTTTTGTGAAAGTAGATTAAATAATGAAGTGTTATACACACACACACACACACACACACACACACACACACAATTCTTGGCTTTCTTTCTTTCTTTTTTTTTTACATTAATGGTTCCTTTTCCATTTCACATATTGTGATTTAGCCATGGTACCCTTGCCATTATGCTGGCAAAATGCTATTTTTACCAACCATATTTTCTTTATACAATACTCAAGTCCGCGTAATTTATTATAGTAGAAAAGAGACCAAAAAGGTGCTCTTTGTACTATTTGCTGAAAAATCACCATTATTAATGCTTTTATAAACAGCTTTTTCATTTTATATTTGTATGGCAGAAACTGAATGAATATCCTTGCTTTCCTTACATACCTTTGTTTTGAGCTCTCAGTGAAGACTGGGGCCTTAGAGGAACTCACACTTTCAGCATGTTTATTCTTGGCACATTCATAATTTTGCTCGTTAAGCACCTGCACCAATAGTGGTAGTGAGTGGAGTTTTAAGAAGATCCTTGAAATGCCATCACTAGTTATCTTTAGGAAACATCGCCTGAAAGGGGACAGTGAAAGAAGTGCTATGTGACCGCTATGTTCTCCAGTGCCTATGACAGGATCAATCTGGCTATGGTGCAGCCTGCATTGACTGGCAGGAAAGTAGATTGTTTGGGGGAATGACATCACTTGGATGAGATTTAACAGTGAAGGTCAACTCTGTGCCATAAATCCTGAGAATGGCTTATTCATGGTGGTCCCTGGCACCTCTGCCACAAGCAATCCCAATAGTATGACCACAAGTCAGAGTATCACTCTTTTCACCAATGTGGCTGAGACCAGTCATGGTGGTATGTACTGGGCAAATGAGCATTGACCAGCCTCTTCTACTTGGTGTTACCAAACCTTCTTGGCTAGAAACCTGGTGACAAGACCTATGAACCTGAATCCTGGTTCCCATCACGTATCCAGCCTGAGAAGCCCCAGAAGGTGCCTCTATTGGTCCCATCATTTGTGGAGGCTGTGTACCCAAAGGGGTGCCCCTGGTGTATGAGGCCTTCAACTGGCATCATGGAATGTTTGTAGATAGCTCCGTGTCCTCAGAATCCACTGCAGCCAGTGAACACAAATAAGAGATCAATTTGCTACATGGCCTTTTTCTGGTTAAACTTTGGACACCACCTGGAACACTGATAAAGCATAGAGAGACCCCCAAAGGAACTGTCTGCTCCATTGTAACACAAAATGTAAAAGACTCAGAGACAGATATTGGGGTTCAAGCTTCAAGCTCAAGGTCAGAGAAGCCTAGCAGCCAAGGTAATAGATGTCACTTCTACATCAGGCTAAAAGGGCAATCCTGTCTTCATGAATCCTCAGATGCAAAAGTTCTTAGTTCCTGTCTTATCCCCCTTATACTCCCTTTTCTGTCTATCCATACCATTCCTGTCTCCACCTCCCTAGTGCTGGGATTAAAGGCATGTGACCCCCAAGTGCTAGAATCAAAGACATGGGCTCTGTTACACTTCATTCTGTGTACACCAGGGAGGCCTTGAAATCAGAGTGATACATCTGCAAATCTCCTGAGTCCTGGGATTAAGGATGTGTGCTGCCACTGCCTGACCTCTTTAGTTTGTGGCTGGCTTTACTTTCTGAATCCTCAGGCAAGCTTTAATAAATCCTAACTAATATATCAACATACTCCATATCTTTAATGTAAGTTGGTTACTGAAAGATGAATCAAGCAGATTTCCATGGCTAGGCATTGGGGAGGATGCTCTCAAACTAGACTATATCTGTCAACGTTTAGAGGGAGCCTAAGACACACTGGCTACTACCTAAGGAGCCCTGGATCTCAGTGCCCTCAGAGTCATTTAAACCATTCAGATACTCTACATCCCCAATGACTTCTAGGGGCAGGCAGATTTTAATATCCAAAGCTGCCTGATAGAGCAGGCCAACCAGGATCTACCCAAGGAGGTGTTGACTGAGTTCAGACAGATGTGTGCACAGAAAGTGACCTGAGGCTCTAAACTAGCAAGAGCACAGCACCTGCATCTGACTTTAGGAGACTTCCATGCTCATAGAAAATATGAGTAATTTAACTTTAACTAATGTGTGAATGACAGAAGGCCAGTCCGCACATGTTTGAAAAGAGATGTGTGTTTATTTTACACATCCATGCTGTTTTAATTTCCTGTTTGTCTTCATAGACTTCCTTCTAATACAAGTCTCAACACTTGCTCACGTAGTAGGAACTTCTACAAGAAGAACTTACTCTTCGGTGTCTTTAAAAACATAAGCTGGTGTGATCATACATGCCTTTAATCTCAGCACTCCTGAGGCAGAGGAAGGCAAACTATGAGAGTTTGAGACCAGCCTGTCCAGTCTATATAGTAACTGTCAGGCCAAACAGGGCCATATAGTGAGACCCTATTAAAAAAGGGTGCGTTGCACAGCAAGATGCTCAGTACAGTGTCTAGAGTTAGGACTGTTTTTCCTGCAAGACAGTCAGAATCCTCATTTTCCAGTCAGGATGACTCTAGTGCTGATTCTCATGCTTGTGCTGTTTCCCTCCCACCTGACTGGAACCAGAAGCCATAAAGCATTTGTGAAAGAAAATTAAGTTTTTAGACTGATGAAATCTTCTTCCTCTTCTTTTCCTCTTCCTCCTCCCCCTCCTTTTTCTTTTTCTTGGTCTCATGTGGCCCAGGCCAGCTTCAAACTCACTATGTGACTAAAGATGTACCTCCAATCCTCGAGTCTCTACTTTCTGACAAACTTGCCACCAAATCCAGATAGACAACTAACACTTCTATAGCATCATATGTGTTCTAGGTACTGTTCTAAGTGAATTATGAAAAACCCTTTCAGGAAAGTACCATTTTTACAGATCAAGAAATGAATTTTTGGATTGGGCACAATAGCACATGTCTTGAAATCCTAGCATTAGTAAGAACAAGACAAGAAAAATGCATACATAGTGGCACTCTGTCTCTAAATAAAAAAAACCACAAACTGGAAAATTATCCAGTGAGTAGCTCCACATATGTGTGAGTGTGTCTGTGTGTGTGTGCGTGTAATAATAAAAATTTGACTCCAGGAATCAGGGGCAGGTGGCTTTTTGTGAGTTTGAGGATAGGATAGTTAGCCTGGTCTACAATGAAAGTTTTAGAACATCCAGGGCTTCACAAAGAAACCTTGTCTCAAATAAGAAAAGAAAAAGAAAACGGAAAAACAGGGAGAGAGAAAAAGTGAGAGAGAGAGAGAGAGAGAAACGAAGAAAGAAAGGAAAGGAGGAAGGAGGGAAGAAAAAAGAAAGGAAGAAGGAAGGAAGGAAGGGAGAGAGGAAGGAAGGAAGGAAAACAAGGAAGGAGTTTGGACATATGTCCAGGTGGTGGTGGTGTACATCTTTAACATCTTTAATCCCATCACTCTGGAGGCAGAGGCAGGTGGATCTCTATGAGTTCAAAGCCAGTCTGGTCTTCAAAGTGAGTTCTAGGACAGTCAAGGCTGTTATACAGAGAAACTTTGTTTCAAAAAAAAAAAAAACCCAAAATAGTAATAATAACAAAATACTCATGGGGTTATTTAAAAGAAAAACAAAGACTTGAAGTTTAGAGGGTAATATGTTGGGAAGGGTCTGAGTAAACCATAGAAGGAAAGTAGATTTGATCAAAAGACATTGTATACCCATTTGCAATTCTCAAAGAATAACTAAAAAAATGAAATACTTTTAAAGTGGAAAAAAATCAAAGAGAGCAGATGATGCAGCTACCTTTAGAGAAAAAATGAAGTCATATGAGCACTTGAATCTGGAAGATACCATTTTGGTTTTTAGGAAGCTTCTGTATTTTTCAGGGTAAGACAAACAGGTCAGTTTGCCTTATTCAGTCTGTACATTGATAATACAGTAGATCAAGTTATTTGTATTTAGGGTACATCCCACTACTGTGTCTATTTTTAACTGGAGAGACAGAACAGCAGCCTCTGTTTAAGAGTGCAGATGTTTCTTTAAGTTTTACTTCAGTATTTTCATGTCATCTCTTGTCAGGACCTGGCTCTCCTTCCATTGCAGCTCTGAGATTAACATATTATTTTGTGGGTTGTTTATTTGGTTAAGGTAGCCCAATTTGGCCTCAAATTTGCAGGTCTCCCACTCCAGCTTCCTAAGTGCTGGGATTACAGGTTTCTGCTACCATGTCTGGCTCTGAAGTTCATACTTTAAAGTTCCCTGGAGTGCTGGAAATACAGCTCAGTGGTAAGGTGTTTTCTAGTGCATGGAGCTCTAGGGTGATTCCTCACTAATGCAAACAACAGCAAAAACCCTATAAGGTGCTCTGACATGAAAAATCTTAAAAGATGTGCCAGACTCAGAAAGACGAGCACCAAATGTTTTCTTTCATATAAAATCTAGACTACAAAGAAGACAGGAAGGTAGAAAGGGAAATAATGGGGGCGGTGAGATCATTAGGATGGAGAATAAGTGAAGAACAAATGAATGGAGGTTGTATATGACTGATGTACATTTTACACATAATGGAGGACATATATGACTGATGTACATTTTACACATGATTGACATACATTTTATGCATGTATAAAATGTTATGACAAAAACCATTCTTATGTACAAAAATATGTACTAATTATGAGAAAGAAGCAAAAGGGGTATCAACCTCACTGTCTCCCTCCCAAAGAAAAGAAGCTCTCTGGGCCCCATACAGGGAAGTGTAAAGGTGAATCATTCAACCATCCTTGCCAAGGAACATGCAGTTATGATAGCTCAGTGGAGCTTGCCTGTCCTGAGCTCCTCAGGCCCTATGTCCTTACTCAATGTCCTCATCTGAACACCCAGCAGGACCATTCATGAACCAAGTAATACATTTGTCCTCACAGAATTAAACTATATCCCTTCCCTAGCAAAAGTATCATAAAGAGAATGAAAAAACAACTCACAAACGTGGACAAATGATTTTCTAAAGACATACCTAATAGAAGGCTGTTTCCAAATATTCAAGAATATCTGAAGTCCAATGACAAAAATTCGGTGTAAAAAATAGGCGAAAGGTCTGAAAGGATGCCTAACCAAAAGATAAAGAATATAAATAAGTATGTATGTTTTGACATCATGTGCCACTAAGAAACCGCAAACTAAAACAAAAATGTAATACCACTAAACATTTATTAGAAGGGCCCAAATTCAAAACACTGACAACAGAAACCATCCGCGGTAGGCAGAAGTTTCTGAGGCTACTAGAAAATGGCAATAAAACTCTGCTCTAGGAATATACTCTAAAACAGGCAAAGTAGGAAGAGGAGGAGTTGGGGACTACTTAGAGACGCTTCGCACAAGCATGTACATAAATGACCCTTTTCAGTGTGAGAAATGATGTCTGGTCAGAGAGAGGTAACAGGAATGTGGGCTGAAGTGCAAGTGATGTAGACATCAAGACTGTATAGCATGGACAGTCATTTATTACTGTCGAGGATGCAAAATAGTACAATCACTTTGGAAGACAATTTGGGACTTTTCTACAAAACCTTTCAGACTTATACTATAGAGTACAACCATTATGCTACTCCATATTTACCCAAACAAGTAAAAAACTTAACATCTATGCAATAAACTGCACATAATGGTTTATAGAAGTTTTATTTGTAGTTGCCCAAATTTGTAGCAGTCAAGATGTTTGTCAGCTTGTTTTCAGATAGATAAACTGTGGTGCATACAAACTATGTCACTAAAACTAAAGTCCTGTCTTGTAGCTGTGACCTTACTACTTCAAATGGGCTTAACTTGAACAAATTTTGTATTTGTTTTGTAATTTGTAAACTGAGATTTCTTTTTAGGAAAATAAATGAGTTATTAAACCACGTAAAATACAGAACAAACATATAACATACATATACATATATACGCATGGTGAATACTTTATGACATTCTAAGGCAAGGCAGAACTATCAGTCCGTAAAATGCTGGAAGTAACTAACACTCAGAAGCACGAATGACATGAAAATAAGGAATGAGTATTTTTCAGTGAGATGATGTGAATATTAAATTTTGAATATATATTATCATTTTGTCAAAAACCACATAATATACAACACCAAGAGTGAAGTATAATGTTAACTATGGACTGTAGGATGTGACAAATTTACCACTATGGTGTGGGATGTTGATATCAGGGAGGTTGTGCATGTCTAGGAACAGAAGTTGCATAGGAACACTGTACATTTTGCTCAGTTTTTTATAAACTTAAAAATGCTCTAAAATAAAGTTGGTTTCCAAAAAATTTATATGAAGGACTTGCTCCACTCTTCTCTTGAATTTAAGGACTGGATACAAGAGGCCAAGGAAATCTGTTTAATCATATATTTGTGAGCTGTCATCTCAATTTCCCCTCACTGTACTTTATATGTTTAACAGGGTCTGGAACTTCCTATTTCTTGACCTTAACACACATTCCCTCTCTCTGTCTGTGTGTGTGTGTGTGTGTGTGTGTGTGTGTGTGTGTGTGTGTGTGTGTGTTTGTATGTGTGTGTATGCAAAACCCTGTACCTTTTATGTAGCCCTGATTCGTGAAAATGAAAGTGACTGACCTTATCAGTCCACAAACATCCTTGCTTTCTAAGATGTGCTAGTCAAAAGCTGAAGAGACATCTCAGTCAGCAAAGCATTTGCCTTGAAAGGCTGTGAACCTGAAATTTCAGTTCTCAGAAGCTGAATGCAGTTGTGTGTCTTTGTAATCCAAGCACTGGGCTGCAGAGACATGCAGGGGTTTACAGGCCAGCCAGCCTAGCCTCCTTTGCAAATTCTAGGCCAGAAAGAGGTCCGGAGGACTCACAAAAAGTGACTACTGCCTGACAACAAACAACTACTGTTGACCTCTGACCTCCTCACATACCTATTCCCATAGCCCACACACAGACAAACAGCAGACAAATTTTTGTTTTTTGTTGAATTTCTCAATGGAACCCCTAACCCAGAATCCTAAATCTGACATCAGGGCTGTCCTTTGCTAAGCAGGGTGTGAGGGTGGTTTTGTCTTACAAGTATGCATGAATCCTCTAACATCTGAGAATTCCATGGGGTCTCACTGATAGATGCTTGGAAGTTTTAGCAATATTCAGAACTTTATATCTGCCATACCTTAAAAACCCTTCACCTCAAGATCTGAGCCACCCAAGCCTGAGGCTAAGGCCTTCATCTTCCAGAGACCTCCAAATGAGAAATTAGCCCCACCCAGTTAAGTCTGTCTGGGAACTCTGAGCTGACCACAGGGTCAGGATGTTGTAAACCACATTGGTCTTGGTGAGTAGTTCCCTACTTCACCAGGGTCTTCAATTTCTCATACATTTCAGAGTCTCTACTCCTACTGATGTAAGGCAATTCTACTTTGGGTAAGACAGACCCTGAGAACCTTTAGTATTGGGGTACCTCATCCTCTGGCTGACAGCCCTGCCTGGCATGTACTTTATCTTGTATTATTATAGGGATCTCATAAATTTTATTCATGTTCCTAGATCACGGATTCACTGGTAAATACCAAATTCCTAAAACTGATCAGTTTCTCTGTATTATAGGAAAATCATAACACAAGGCAGGGAACTTGGACAGATGTTTCTTAAGAAAATTCTACAGGCTTGTTCTTTCTCTTTTCCTTATAAGTCAGATTTAGCCTCATATGTTTACACTGAAAATGTTATATTTTTTAAAAGATATTGTGCAGCATGATGGAATATGGGTGCATTATCTTTTGAGTGTATCTGACTTGCATATATAATCAAGCTTTTACCAATAATTTCTCTCCTTCATTCTTTCCTCTGTATCTCAGTATTTTTTTGTTGTTGTTGTTGTTTTGTTTTATTTATGTATTACAATCTGGTGGATTAGACACAAAATCTTTTTAGAAAAAATACTAGGATCCTTCACCAGGGTCTAGCCTGGTTTAACCACCTTATTTTATCCTCTATGTACCCTCCCCAGTGCCCAAGTTCTAGCCTTGGTCCTCCTTGGCCTAGTCTGGTCAACCCTGGCTGAGCTGTCCCAAAGTCTACATTTTTTTGTCAAAAATTGCCAATCTCTTTGCTAAGTCAGATCTTGAACAGCTTTTTCCAGGGTTCGGGACATGTTCTACCTTCTCCCAATCTAAAGGCACCTTTTGAGTCACATCCAACCTGTTAACTCAGCCATATCATGCACATCCTCCACCAAGTAAGTCTGCCTCATCCCACATACCCTCTCCAATCTCCTACATCTATCACTGAACTCCAGACTTAGACCAGGACATATGTCCTGCATGGCAGTCCAGCCCATGTCCACCTGATTCTATTCTACCTAAACTGTACCCAACATTTAGGACCAATCTTCTCTGTAAAATTTTTGTTCAGGAACTGAGTAGATGTTACTATCCTTATATCTCCTTCTACTTCAGGCAAATGGCCTTTGTCCAAGCTCTGAAGTTTAACAGATGTGTGAAACTGAGCATTATCAAAATCTCTGAACTTCAGACTTTTCATATGTGAAGTGATTATGGTAATCCCTGTCTTGTAGAAATTCCCGAGTCTGTATAAGATATGTAAAATTATTCTTTAAAATACCAATTCTTGTTATGATTCATTTTCCTTTGATGTTACAGTGACCACACTCCTTTTAAAGCTAGAAGCCATAGTAGAAATTATATCACATTCCAGGACAAAGAAAACACTATCAGATAAAGTGCTACTTAGCAAGGAAAACTAAGTACTATATTTTCCTATGAAAAATCAATTTTAGTGTGAAGTCACTCTCTGCAGTTGAGACAGCACAATGTTTTTAAAATGTACTTCAAAGACTCTAAAACTTCCCTTCCTTTGAGCTGCCATTTCCAGTTAAGCCACTTTAATTTTTATTCCTTTAACCCCTACTGAAAATGAAAGTTGTGAAATTGCACCCAGTGTGACCGATTAGAACCCTTTTAAAGCCCATGGAGGAGTACAGTGTAGTGTCTTCTAGGTGTCAGTCCTACCTTCCTTGAGGGTATCATTCATTCTCAGACTCCATGTGTATAGATCACTCAGGTTGCTCAGAGCTCTTTAACTCCTGGCACGGGCTTACAGGATACTTCTATTCCTGCCAGCTTCTCATAACTTCCCCAAATAAGTAATAAAAACATTTCCCCTTTCCCAGTTCCATTTCTCAATTCTGAGGATCTGGCTCCTGTTAATCACTCCCACATCCTAAGTCAGCCCACCTGGTAGCCTCATATAAATATTTCCCATGGAAAGGTCTGGAGTTTCCTGAGAACCAACCTGGCATTAATCAAATAATTTTCATTTCATTACTTTATTGTAAAAACCCCTTCCTAGTTGGGAAGTGGTGGCACATGCCTTTAATCCAAAGGAGGAAGATCTCTGAATTCCAGGTCAGCAAAGGCTATGGAGAGAAACCTTGCCTCAAAAAATGAACAAACCCACCCACCACCACCGACAAAAACACTTTCTTCCCTCCATTAATTGTATTGGTAACTTACTACAACTTCTTTATCTTAGCCCTCCAGTACTAGCATGGAATCTTCTAAGAGTATATTCTCAAATGATGTTTAGGCAACAAGTAAGTATGTGAGCATTTGTGCCTAACTGAATATTACTTAAGTCCACATCTTTTACTTTAAAAATTTTCATACAATAAATTCTGATAATGCATTGCTTCCCCTATTCAACCTCTTCCCAGGTAAATGAAGCAAAGACATTTATTTAACTCTTTTAATTTTATCAAATACAGAGAAAATGTTTTAATGCAAATTAAATTAATTTACATTAAATTAAATCACATTACCATCTTTTCTATTTCTCTATCTCATTTATCTTACTGTTGAATTATTTTAAAGTAATTTTAAAGAAATGCTTATCACTATCTTATCTCAGAGTAGATTAACAGATTAGATAATAAAAGTTTCTGCAACTTCTTTCATAATGAAACTCTTACTTTTAACAAGTGATGAATATATGTTTGTTGAATTAATCATATTAATAGATAAAAAGAACACTTGAAAAATTAAAATTAAACAAAATGCAGATAACTTTCCAAACTGCTCACACAGAACAGGAACACAAAGCTATCTACCACGTTCCCTCTAGTTATAAACAGTCCTTCACTACCTCTTTCATTCACTGTCCTCCTGAACCACAAAGAAAAAAAAGATAACTTCACTAGGTGTGGGAGGACCTGTTTGACATGGCTGTGGCACATTAATTGCTGTGGATTAATGTGTCGCTGAGTACAACTGCGGCTCCGGCTTTTTCCTCCTCATCTTTCAAAGCTTCATCATACCAGGACTGGAAGGCACTGGGCACTGTATGGTTGATCTTAGCCCAAAACTCAAGGATTTTCATCTTGCTTGTCTCAGCATGAGATCTTGGGCCCCACAGAAATTCATAGCTTGCAGGATGGCTGTTAGGTACTCGCCGGTACTCCAGGTATTTAAGCTTCACTAAATCTTGAGTGATAAGCTTCCTGGGTTCCCCAAAAATGAAATGCTTCTTTCCATCATATATTTTCATCTTATTCAGGAATTCCCAGATCTTTTCTTCAGCAGCACAGTTTCCTTTCAGGAATATCACACCTAGGAGGTTCATTAGCAGGCCAGTCTTGGGGAATCCCCTGCCTCTACTCACAGTGCCGTTGTTAGGGAGATTCATTTTGCTGACAAGGATGTAGGATTGCTTTAGCGAATCTACTTCCTTTAAGTCTACACCAAACACCACCTCTATGTTGAAAGAAGCTTTTCGGAGGATCTCAAAGAAGCGTTTTCTGTGCTCTTTGGTGATCATCTTCAACACATTTGCTTTCAGAATGGGTCTTTGCATTTTGTACATGTTCATCATATACTTCACTACCACCTGGATTGTACCAATGAGAGAGCTTCTAGGGCGCTTCACCGTAGAGGATGAGGCCTGGGAAGAACGTGGCTTCCTCTTAATTACGTTGTTAGCTCCTTCATATGATCTTGTAGTAGGAACACTCTTAGACTCAGTGGTAGAAAGGGCTCTCTGAGGCACCTTGGAAGTGCTTTGTAGCCTACAAGCTGATTTTGTACGGGTAGTAACCCCCAAATAAGGAGAAGATGGATGGGGAGATCTTTTCTCCTTTGTTGCATGGGCCTGAACACTCTGGAGATCCTGGGTCTCACCTTCAGTCTGGTGGCATTTTTCTTGGGCTTGGACTTTACTCTTCTGACCCCGAGGCATGATGATCTTGTTCAGGAACAATAAGCTGGAGTGCAGACAAGCAAGCTAGTGATGCAGTCACCTAGAGAGAATGGAATTGCATAAGCACCTCAGCACAGAAACAGACACAGCTCTTGGCTTTAAGGAGCCTACCTTTGCAGGAGTTGGAAGTACTGTCCTAAGAACTCAGTGGGCCCTTGTTCTCATCAGCCTGTCCTGATAACCCTATGGAACTAATTAAAGTGTGCTTTTCACTGCCATCCCTGTCTGGTGTGCACTGGGAATGCAAATGGTAGTGACAGGCTTAATTCTGGTGCATCCCTTTCCTCTAGGGATAGAAGATCTCTCAGCTTCAAATGCAGTGCTATTATCACATCAAATTGGTAGCAGTGCCTGGGCCCCTTCCTGTGCAGCACTAATTTTTGATAACTCCATATAATGCACTCATCCACTTCCTTGAGCTACTAAGATTATATAAAAAAACATGTGAGCCCTCAACACTTTCTGTGGGTCAATCAGTTCTGAGAGCTGACACACATTCATTGAGGTACTCAGTCCTCATGCAAGGTCCTCACTGTGTCTTTAGATAGGACTCAATGCTCCTCCCCTCACATTAGAGACTCAGTAGGCTAAAATCATAAAAAAAGAAAACATACACATAACTGATATCCAAGCCTATGCTCCTCAGAGTTGTACACGAGGTATGGGAGGAGGGATTCTGTTATGATCTCATTCTGATAGGGGAGTTAAGTAGCACAAGTCTTCTTTTAGGATTTTGACCTAGAGTCTAGTAATATTTAGGTCTCCTATGGAGAACTGAGGTGTACAATAAATTTAACTTAACTTCTCTGGGAGTAAGGAAACTGACATTTACTGACCTTTTTCTGGAGATGACCATGACTAAGAAGAGGAGTAGAGTATATGAAAATGCATTTTTGTACAATTGTTTTTCCTCAGTCACCATTGAAGTTTCTGACCTTGACCACCCACTAGTCCCAGACATCATGCCTCAGAACAAGGTCTTGAACAGGAGAGTCAAAGTCCCAAAATAAAAATACCCTTGGCCTGGAGCCTCAGAGAAATGAGTGCAAGCAGGAAAAATGTTCTGCATTTCCAGGTCAACTGGATAAAGATCTTCCAGTCAGGGTGGAAGACCTTCAACTTGACTCCACTTAATGCCCAGAAGTATTTTGCTCACTGAGTCCACTAGCTGTTGTGTCAGATAACACTTTCCTTTCTGATACTTTCTGTGCAAAATTTAGTGTGACAGGTTTCCTGGGGCCACAGAGGGCTAAGGTGACCCCATAGGGGACAGTTTTAGTGGGACCCTATACATTATGAGACTGGAATTGATCTTCTAAATCCAAAGTCAGGGTCTTATATCCTGATGTCTCCCAGAAATTCATCTCTTATTGATTAGCCAGATGCTGAGTCTTTCTTCCAAGGCCTGACATCATAAGAGAAATTAGGATGACCTACATCCTGCCACTGTTGCCCAGGGTTTTTTCCATACCGAAAATAGGGGTGCACTGTTAAGGAACCTCACTATTATACAATAAAGGCTCTTTAGGTCCTCAACATATCAAATGTAGCCAGGGATGCTAAGCTGTTCTGACCTGAGGTAACTTGAAAAGAAGCATGGACCTTCCTCAGTCACCATTAGAAGTAATAATTTTGAGCCTCAATGGGCTAACCACTGTAAAGATTCTGGGATGTGACAGGAGATAGAGGACTCTCTGAGGCTCACTATTTTGGAGATATGTCCTTTAATTATCACTCAGAGTTTTCTCAGCTGATTTTGACCAAGCCCCCTAACCTTGCCAAACCAGTAGCCTACCCATTACATTCTGTTATGTTGTTTTATGTGACTCTCCAGGGACACTTCAATCATGGAATTCTGTCTAGGGAATGATTTCTTTGTATCCTGGGATTCCCTCCTTCTACCTATACAAGTTCATTAGCCACAAATATCTTCCTCTCTTTCCTTGGTCCTCTAGTTAAAATCTAGACACACTATGAAAACGTCCTCTAGTTAAAATCTAGACACACTATGAAAACGGTTCTGTGGTCTCTCACAGGGCTGGAAATGGAGTTGGATCTTTTGACATCTCCTCTTTTGAGGAATGTACTGGGAGACCCACAGGATACCTCACTATACTGACTTAGATCCCTCAGCCTCCAAAGGAAGCCACATACTTCCCAAGAGAAAGCAAAGTAGGCAAGATTCATATGGTGCTCACAGTTGAAGCCTCTCAGCCCAGCTGGGGACAGAGATTTCCGAGAAACTTTGTTTAGAGAACATTTGTACACCCATCCTCACAAGGGTCTCTCTGCTTTACTTTGGTTTCAACAAGAACTCTCTGTACTGGAACTGGGGTCCCTACCCACGCAGAAATGAGGAACACCCCAAACTCCTGTTCATGGGCTTAACAGAGTGGATTCGGTAGAGCAAGAACCTCCCTAAGAGGACTCAAGGATTCCACCTTCAAATACAGTGTTTACCTCGCTTAAGTCTTACACTGGAAATCTAGATGTGTATAAACTAATAACGCCCAGATGTGTATAAACTAATAACGCCCAGACCATCAGGAAACGGAGCTGTCTTTTGATAGCCTCCCACCTGACTCCTCCACTTTTAGTGGTCTAGCAGACTAGAAATTCCTCGTAGCACTAACCTGAATCACAGACCTCCTAAGCGATGTTTCCACCTCCTTCAGTCAGCAGATAAAAGACCTGCGCAAGCGCAGAACTCCCTATGTCGGTTGACAGGGTCTAGGCAAAGGCACACCTCCCTCAGTCAGCTGACAGGACCTGCACAAGCACAGAACTCCCAATATCCTTTGACAGGTTCTAAGCAATGGCGCACCTCCCTCAGTCAGCTGACAGGACCTGCACAAGCGCAGAACTCCCAATGTCCTTTGACAGGTTCTAAGCAAAGGCACGCCTCCCTCAGTCAGCTGACAGGACCTGCACAAGCGCAGAACTCCCTATGTCAGTTAACAGGGTCTAGGCAATGGCACACCTCCCTCAGTCAGCTGACAGGACCTGCACAAGCGCAGAACTCCCAATGTCCTTTGACAGGTTCTAAGCAAAGGCACGCCTCCCTCAGTCAGCTGACAGGACCTGCGCAAGCGCAGAACTCCCAATGTCCGTTATAGGTTCTAAGCAATGGCGCGCCTCCCTCAGTCAGCTGACAGGACCTGCGCAAGCGCACATCTCCCTATGTCCAGTGGGAAAGTCTCATTTGGCACCCCATGTGGGAGGTTCTTAAGTCTGACAGTAGGGGCTGAATGGCACTGCCATAGTTTACTGAAAAAGTTCTCTTATCAGTACTTGGTGCCCCCCCCCACTTTACTGTTTATAACCAAGACCTATCTCTTGCAAATCTGGGGCTCATAACATCCTATTAGGTCACTTGTTGTGACCTTCCAAACAGCTGTGGAGCACCAAAAACTTACCACGTTGACTCAACAGTGGATTCTATGATCCTGTGTTCCCTCCCTCTACATACTCTTATCTGAAAACAAAAGTTTTATGTTAGTATTTTTAAATAAAAATTATTCAATTTATTTCATGTGTATAAGTGTTTTTGTCTGTAGGTAAGTTCACCGTGTGTATAAGTCGTTGCCAGCAAGATCACATGAGGATGTATGATCCCCTAAAATTGGAGTTATACAATTATGAACTTCCTTATGGATGCTGGGAAACAAACCTGGGTACTCTGCAAGGGTGGCAAATGCTCTTAATTGATGAGTCCTCTAGCCCTTTATGGATGTATTCCTAATTGCTTCATCTATGCATTCTATTTCAGTTCCTTTAGGCAAAGACTTTTGTAATGCCTTAGGGATTTAGGCTAAGAATAATGAGTACATGGTGGCTTTTATTAGTACTGTATTGTACAATGGAAATTCCCTGAGACCTTTGGGCATATTTGAAAGAAAGGGGAATTAGTGGATACAAGGAAGGTCTCTCAGGCAGGTGGTGATTCATTCTCTATTTGGCTATTTTTTTTTTAAAGACAGATTTTAGTGTAGCCTCAAGTCAGCCTTGAGTTCATTGATACTAAATACTTAATCCTCCTTCCTCTTCCTCTCCAGTGCTAGGATTACAGGTGTGTTCCACGGCACCTATCAGGCCTTATTTTTGCTTTACTAATTTATTTGTATTTTTAGCATAAACTATCTGTAAAAAGGTCTCATGGCATTTTCACACACGTTATATTTTAATACTTATACCCCCATTTCCAGCTCTTATCAACTACTTCTATAGCCTTCTTTATCCCAATTGATTTTCCCCCTACCTTTTAAGATTTTTTAAAAATATATATTTTTAAATTGAAAGAAAATGTGGTTATTTGATTTTTGGAAAGCATTACAGTACTTCATGATCTCCAGTGCCATCTACTTTCCTGCAAATGATATGAACTTTTGAAGCCTTCAGACATCACATATCTATGTAATCATATACCTTCTAAATATATTATTTGTTTTTCTTCATACTTCACGGTGAACAGGGAGTTCTGTTTCGAGTTTTTAATCCTTGCACTCAGGAAAGAGAGGTAGGAGGATTCCATAGACTCTCAGGCCAGTCTGATCTGATAGTGTGAGATGTTTGTTCCAAAGTGAAATGAGCACATAAACAAGGTTTTCTCACATTTACTTTGGTGATCTTACTGCTTTCAGTGGTTATTGTATCCAGTAGTTTGAATACAGAGAGTTTTTCTGTTTTGCTATAGGATATGGCCCTAACCTCAAGCCTTTTGCTTCTGTGATAACCTATAACATTCACAATGACAGGAACAAGAAGGAATCCGGAAGCATAAAGCAAAGCTTAGTGGAATACTGTGCATTGTGATTATCTTAATCTGTGGAAGGTACTGCTACTAGCTATGCGAGTTCACAGAGTATCTGAGCTGCAGGTTTCACATCTGCACAATGGTTTTGGTAACCCTGTCTTGTACTAGCCACAGAACAAGTGAAAAGAATAAAAAGCATTTGATATACTGATGAGCATATATTGAATCTCTCCCTTGATCTGTCTCACGGCTGCAGGTGCCAACCAAAAGAACCCCCCCACACACACATACTTAAGATGTAACATAAGTGGGGAGGTGGTATACCTTTAATCCCTGCACTCCAGAGGTAGAGGCAGGTGGATTTCTGAGTTCAAGGCCAGCCTGGTCTAAAGAGTGAGTTCCAGGACAGTCATGCTAGGAAAACAAACTGACAAACAAACAAAAGCAAGCAAACAAAAAAACAAAACAAAAAAACCATAAAAAGTTAGAGAGTTCACCATGCCTCCTGCTTTAAAACCTTCTTAGTATGTTAATAAAGGACAGGGTGAGACACTTTCCTGTCCTGTCTATTGAAAAGCACATTGTCAGCTCAGTTCTTACCCAAGTTCCCTGATTTGCCTTCTG